TTCAGACGTGTGCTCTTCCGATCTCCCCAAAACCCCAAAACCCCAAAACCCCGTCGTGACTTGATACGCTTATTATTAATAATATATCGAAAAAAGTATTATGTGAGACTTTATTTTTCGTATATGTATTAATATATATTGCTTCTAAAATAACATGAATTTTCCATACAATCAGTAGCAGTAACCTATGGTCATGCCTTACTTAGTATTCTTTATGCCTCTAAATCAGCAGTTCTAAAATATGAATATCGGCCAAGTTCCATAGTAAGCACCTCCTGGGTTCATTCCACGCTCGTATTCGGGAATGCTACCACAGCCTGCAGGTGTAATGATGATGCCACCGATGTATAATTATGGACAGACACCGAATCCTATGGGATAATATCCACCTAACATTCCAGCATAGCAATGCTAGTCATAAACAAATCTCTAAAATGTGATATAAACGATTCAACCGGGTTTCATGCCCTAGAGATGTGAGACTGATATAAAGAATCTAGGGGTATCTCAAACGAATAATCTATCACCAATCGAAAAAAAGAGTAATGATAATTTCAAATATAGTAACACCGCAACAGATTTAACAAAATAAATAACAGGCCTAACTGATGGAAATAAATCATAAACTAGAGTTAGCCTTATCATTCCACCTAAAAAAGAAGAGAATATAGTGCCTCCTGAGATTGAAGAAAATCTATTTGACGATAATTCCTAGTCTCTTCAAGATGATTCTGGTGAATCTGATTCAGACTGGGACGCTAATATTGAAAACAGAAAGAAATAAGAAATGAAATCATCAGTAGTATCTTCAACAAGTAAGCAGGGTTTCTCTGTAAAGATTCCGCTAATCACAAGTTCTACAAAATTAGATAATGGAAAAAAACCAATTAAAAATAATGATTGGTCAAGTGAGGAGAACAGATACATGAAGACTGATGATCAAGTACGAATATTAGAATCAGAGTTCAGTAAAGACCCATGCTGGACCAAACAAAAAATGAAGAGGCTTTCAACTCTTCTAAACTTAAAGGAATCACAAATATACAAGTGGAACTGGGACAGGAGATAAATGTAGGACAGATACATATAAAAGAGAATTGAAAACAAAGATCTACCAGAGAATCTTTTTAAAATAACTAAGGTTGCTAAAAACGAGTAATCTGATGACTACGCTACCGATGAAGCCGGAGAATCTTAAAACGGATACTTTAAAATTCTCAGGGCTGGAAATTTTAAGAAGTTTTGAGGATTTTCCTCTAAAACAGGTAGTATCTTTATACATATATTTTATTCTTAATATTAGATGACCTCTTCGAAATTTATTCTATTGGATTTTCAAATTTAACACTCTGGGGTTTTGGGGTTTTGGGGTTTTGGGG